CCCCAAAACCCCAAAACCCCAAAACCCCTTTTATAGGGCTTGCTTTTGAAGTAATAATTAAAAATATGGGACATTTCTTTAATGTGATACACTCATACGGGTTCGAGATAAGCCTTTCTGTGGTGACAATTGTGTTCTTCTGCATTTTTCCACTTTTGAGAATGATTGCTAATGAATTTGAAGGACCGCAGACTCTGCTCTATAGCATCCTATATTACTATCAAGCTGTCAGTTCTATTGGAGTTGTGATTTATGCTGCAGAGAACATTAAGTTTGACGAACTGACTGAAAGGCACAGGTACTAAAGTTAGTCCTAATCCATTATAGGCAACAAAACGGAGAGGTTAAGTGTAACCCTCTATTGTTTCTCTACTCATTGATCTTCTTTATCGGACACCATAATATTGCCTTAGTAAAAGTTATCAAGTAAGTCTCTTGAAGATATTGATGAATTATTATACTCAAAACAGTTAATATGGCTGTCCAGAGTTATATCTTGTACTTCTCCGGCTGTTTAGAGAATGTCCATTGCGTTATCAATATGGGCATTATTGCCGAACTGAGTGTCTATCATGCCCAGAAACCTCTTGATAAACAGCACTTGGCGGATAACCTTGTCTTCTTTTTTACTTTCAAGTAAGTTGACTGACTCATTGTTCTTAAAGTCGATTATGATCTTGAAATGGATTGTGTTTGTATGCACATTGTCATGGCCCCTCTTCTCGATTCGAATATCAGAAATATCAGAGAGTTTATACTCTTTGCCTTTCTTGATGCAAAAAGTATTGAGTTTCTTCCTAGAAAACTCATCTTTGGTCTTATCAAAAGTGACTGTTTCTATTTTTGCTGCGAAGAAGAACACCCCTGATAATCCGAAAAGTGCGAGAATTACCAAGACTTGCCACCAAGACGCGTCTTTATAGCCATCTACCACAGTTCCAAGGAACCCTAGCGTAATGTGGTAAAGTCAGTATATTGCTAAGATGAGGATAAAAGTCCCGATGATCCACATTGCAAATGGGTATTTTCTGAAAACAATTTTTCTGTCAGAACTGTCTTGTAAATTGATGTCTTCGATATCGATCATATAATCATCCTGACTTGTATTATTATCTTCCTGAGACTCTTGTTTATTTTCAGCATCGGGCTTGGGTGCAGTGAATTTTATTCTTTCACGTCTCTTTCTATCTTCTCTACAGAATAATTAGTTCTACTAACTTTTAAAGTAGCATACCTATTGTGTCGGACAGCATTGGAAATGGCTGCTGCTCTTCCAATTCTCATATTTAATATTTCAAAATATTTTGAATATGTTGGGGTTTTGGGGTTTTGGGGTTTTGGGGTTTTGGGGTTTTAGGG